GCTGGAGGAGACCTGGAAGCTCAAGGCATCAGAGGTGCCCGTGGTCGTGGAGGAGTGGCTACAGCAGATACCTGGAAATACATCAGACATATCGGTCCAGAAAAGTGCAGTTCTAGGAACAGCAAAGATACTGTGCAAAATCATCAAGCTCTTAGGCCTCTGGTAGAGGACCTAAGCTTGGAGGAAACAGAGAGAATTCCAGTGGTGGGTGAAGGTGACATTTAAAAGAAAAAAACAAAATTGCAGGATTCTGGCTTCCCATAACCACCGAGGTCATCCTGAACCAAACTGTAAATTAGGCCATGCAGCAGTTTAGTTTTTCGGTGTAGCAAGAGAGAACAAAATGGCAAAGAAATTATATAATTAAGGCATTGAAATTGTTCATTTGTGGTCCACACACTGGCTTGATTAAGATATATTGGTGTCACATCTGCACAGCTTTACTTAAGATATTGCCAGAAACCATCAAGTAACAAATAAGCTAAATTTCTACAAAATATTATCAGATATCTACTAGAAGAGGACCAGGGTATTTTATGACTGGCTATATTTAAAACATTAAGGGTTCGTTCAAATGTTCTATACAGAAAATCTGTATTGGAATTTTATATTTTTTTGTTGTAGTTGAAGAAGTTATATCTTTTGTTGAAAAAGTAAATAAATAGCAAAATAAATAGCAGCATAAGCTGACAAGGTAGCCAGACACATGCTGAATCAGAAAGAGAAACATATCTCCAGGGCTATACAAGAACTGGAGATATGTGTAAAATACACATATCTCTGTAAAATGTTGGGAGGATGGGAGGTACTACAGCAAAAGGAATATTGGTATAGTTTATATTATATTTTATTTACTTCTCAAAAGCTTTGTTTTAAACTGTCAGCTTTTCTTTTAACAGATGTTGTTATCAAAGTCCTCCTGACACTTTATAACAAAGTACTTTTTATTTTCTCTTTAAAAGAAATGTACCGTATATTAATTCCTCTAGTTTCCTCCTCAGCAGGTAAAGTAAATACATTATGGATTTCAGTCACATCAGAGCATTGAAAATGTCAGTGTAATGTAAAGATATATTCTACCAGGCTATGAGTAAGGTGCTGGGTAGTTATGAATTTTGACAGATGCTTGAAATAAAACAGAGGGGATTAAATATGTATATTATCATTTTGAAATTAGCTGAAATGAATGCAGCATTTTGCTTTATTTTGTTTGTTTTTTTACCCACTATGTATAACTTATACATTTTGTCACTTAGTACAGTGTAATTACAGCTTCCTTTCTAATTCCAACTGATGCTTAATTTAATTAGTTGGGAGCATTCATAGAACTTAAGGTGCTACATTACATATAATTAGCTGATTTATAAATAACTTTGTTCATTAGTTTTTTGGTTATTTGTTTTAAGTTATTTTAATGGCATGTTATATCTGTAATAGTTTACTTATGCGCTGGTTGATTACCATTCTTCATTTTAACAAATAAACATAAAAAAAAGAATTCTTAATACAGACAAAAAATAATAGATACTTTATCCCTTGTATATTTATCTAACTAGTTGGCTATTTGCCTTTGAAAAAATGTGGTGTTATAACATATTTTGATAGGCTGAAAGCAAAGAACCAATGTAAATTACCACCTTAAATACATACAGGCTTAGAAAGCTATTGAAGTAAAAACTCATAAACCAATAAATAGCAATTTCCAAAATAATTGAGAACATGTTTCAATACATATGCATGAAAAAGGCATTTTCCATATTACCAGCTTATACGCTCAGCGTAATTGATTGAGTGAATGACCAGCTGTATTAAATGCTATTTCACAACCATCAAAACGCAACCAAATTGCAAATTGCCCAGCTTGTATCTGAATTAATACCTCATTCATCATCATTATGAGCTGATAAGTTAATTTAACCATTTCATTCTGTCTTAATGAGCTATAGTTGAATTAATGTCATGTAATATATGAAAGTAACATTTGAACAGAGGCAATGATTTGAGACAAACAGAGCAGAGACTACTTTAGATGCATAATGGTGGCATGGATCTTTGCAGGCTGCATACACTCCATGTTGCACGGCACAAAAGAGAAGCAATTTCCAAAATTAATTATGTTTTTAGGTGTGAATTTTTGTGGAAAATTAATTAGATTTGCTTTGCAAATATATTCATTTATTATATTTTCCATCCTTACAATCACAAGGTTAAAAATATTTTGTTTTGATTTCTTGAAATAGATCAACCTAGATTATTTCGGAATTGTGAAACGGAAATATTTTTATAAATTATTTTTAGAGATTTTTACAAATTGAAAGTATGGCATGCATTTCACCATGTTGTATTAAGATACCCTTAAATAAAACTAAATGCTTCTCACAAGCCTTCAGAAGTGAGAAGATTAAATTCACATCTGTGCAATTAAATCTCAGGGTAAAGACAGCAGGTCTGTAAAGGCCTCAGAGATTTTTCAGAGAACCTTAATGAACAAACAGCACAATGAAACACAACAAACTCACTATGGAGACATTTAGAACAGAACTACAGCCGAAAATAGTCCATAGCCCAAATCTTAAAAATCTCATGGAGTGAAGTTAGGTCCATCAGCTGAAAATTAAAAGAACAAGACCAGAGTGTCATGCATCATTGTAAAGTGTAATGAAACAATGCAAGGTTTTTGAAAAAATGAAAATGACATCTCAAAAGGGGCTATAGGTTGGAGAATTTGGAGACAGAACATCTCTTACATTAACTTCACCAATCTGGGCTTCTTGAGAAGAGTAGCAAAAACAAAGCCATTAAGGAACCCATTTAGAAATGGGTGGAATGACAAACTGCACTATAACTTCAGCACACCATCCCAACAAAGCAAAATCATGCTTTTTTAAAAACAGGGATATCAAAGATGGCTTAAAATGTATGGAGCTACAGTAAATACGGGATAAGTCCAAATCTAAAGGCTACGGTACACTTAAGATTGAGGCTGAGGTTCTCCCACTACAAAGACAATGACCTTAAACATACAGAGTTACTCTAGTAGTTTAGATCAACATGTGCTGCCCTAAAATGGATCACTTAAAGTTGTAACCTAATTTTAATTGGTGCTGTGCAAACTCAGATTATTATAAAGAGTCTCTCCAGCCATATCTTTGGTTTTTTTTTCTTGGTTGTTTTTTAAGGAATGACAGAAATTTCAGTCTATATTCGAGGAATCCAAAAGAGTTGCCGCTGTAAGTGCACTGAGATATTCCCACAAAATATTTAATATGTGGACTAAATGGAAATGCCCAACTCACTTTGCTTTTTTTTTTTTCCGGGAAAAAAGGTTAAAATTTCCTTACACGTAACATTAGTACACTACATTGTGTCTATCCATATAAAATCCCATGAAAACTGTTTGAAATGTTTTGTTGTAACATGAAAAACTGTTTGAAAAAAAGAGGACTGAATACTTTGGTACCTTATATTGCACTGAATTTGACTATTAATACAGTAAAACTATTTGGAATAATAAAAAAAATAATAATAATGTATTATTTCCCTATTCCCATAAGAAGACGGTCCCTCCTTTTGTTGAGCGTTTGACCGTGCATATGTGCGCTCTGCTGTCTTCCAGTTCCACCTTAAAACGTGTTTTGGCCCCGCTTGCTCCCTGTAGTTTAGGTTGTTTAGGTTTTTTTTGTCCTCCCTGCAGCAGCTGTCACCCTGCATTACTCGCAGTCAGCTAAATGAAACATTATACTAAACATATGCATCGTAATCAGTCCGGTCACACTTACAAGAACACGCGTTAATAAGGCAATCAATCACTCTGGAACAACCGAGTTGTTCTGTAACAGCTCATAAACAGTGTGTAATGAAGAATTGGAGGTTGGCATGACACGGCGCTGATCAGATAATCAATGTCAAAGATGCGATGAATGTCAGTAAATGCAGTTTTCATGTCGTTTCTATAAAATCTACCAATTTACAACAAGCAGTTCAATTACCCTGAAAATACAGTCAATTAAGCGGGGGTTGGGGAGGGGCTGATTGGACAGTAAGGGCCAGGATCATCGATCTTTGCATTCCTATCTCGCTGCTGGACGTTTAATTTAGTTTTTCTATTAGCACCGAAATAAAGAAAATATAAAGTGTATTAAACAAGCCAAAGATTTATTTTCTTGTCAAAAACTATTCAGTGAGGCTGACAGACAGTCCTCTACATTATTATCATGAGGTTGTTTTTTTTCTGTCTGTCGTGCACATTGGATATAAAACTCATCATGTTAAAGTGGGCAGTGTTTTTCTGGCCTCAGTCTTTTCCCCTTTTACACCCCCCATCTATGTCGTTCCAAGCCTCTGTTTAGTAAAGAGCAAGCAAACCTGGTGATATATCACAGCCCCTAATCCCATTTCTTTTAATGGGGACGTTCAAAAAAGCAACTTATCTTAAAGTCCTCCTGGGGCCACTCATGGTGTTGGCTATATTTTTAAACCAAGTGCAATTAACGACAGTATCAGCTTGTATCATTTAGAGGTAATGTAAAAATAATGGTAAATTATAGGGCCGGAATGACCCGTGATGGCAGGCCTCATATTCCCTGTAGCGTCCTGCGTTTTTTTTTATATATATA